AATAGTTCTGTCCGGCTCGGATGATGTTTGAACTTCAGTGTAAAGAACACTGGCTGCTCTAAGGGCCTGTTATACATAGCCTGGCTCTTATCAACACAGCTTGATCCCGAAAGGATCTTTGTCAAGAGTTTGAAAGGTGTCAAACACTCATAAATTTCAGACAGCTCTACGGATCCATCAATATTACGACTGGACTTTGGAATCTTACAGTACACTGGAGCCTCAGAGATTCACTCAAGTAGGCTAAATAAAACATGGCGTTGTGCTCCAGGATGGCAGAAGGAGAGGAGTTTTGTCTTTCTCTTTTGGAGGCAGAGAATAGAATAAAGTGTAAGTGAGAGGCTGCAGCGTGTGTCCACATCTGCTGTTAAATATGATGTAAGGAGAAACATCCAGGTGTGTAAATATGAGTTTGTACATTTAGTTTTTGTTTTGTTTAGAGAGTATTCTGTTCTGTAGGGAAGATTCAGAGACAGGGGATTTGGCAATCACGTGTTGTTTCTTAAGGTCGGGGGACAAAGAATTACTCCAGCGGAATACTGCAGAATACTGTAGTCTTTGTCTTACGCTGCAGATACTGCGTTCTGGTAAAAAAAAAAAAAACAATTCATTTTTTGATTGTGTTTTGTTCAGAAAATCCTCAATGTCATTCCACTGGAATGAGTCCAATTTTGACTGCGATCAGGGGGCAGTGATGGGGGGGCTGTTGCATCAGTTACCCTACAAATATTTGATCCCTTAAAACTTGTATTTATTCAGTGGTTCCCAAAGTGGGGGCATTTAAATTTCAGTATATATGTTTCAATGTCATACATTTAAAAAAATGGCAGAATAATGCTTTTTTTTTTCTTTCTAAATGTCCACGGACATTATATGTGAGTGTTTTTCCACAGCAGAAAGGCAACTTTAATAAACAGCAGCCGATTTAATTCCCAACACCTGAGGTCGGAGAATATGGCATAAACGTGTTTGCACACACAAAGGCCAGCAAAGTACCTGACAAAACAGAGGTGGAGACTGAGTGCCTATTGATGGCAAAAGTTAAAATGGGGATGAAGTTTGCCTTTGTTGTTTGATACGCCTTTGAAAGCCGTGACAGTGCCCTCGCATCAGAAATCTCACGAGCAGAGTACACAGGAAATAGCCCAGACACGGCGTTGTTGAGTGGGAAAGGATTGTTTTTGAAAATAACATTTTTTCCACGCTATTGTCCCCCTGCCTCTAACCCACTTGCACATAATGGCAGACAATGTTTTGAGTTGATGCACCTTCTGGGCAGCCACAGACTGTGCAGCATTGGTTATAAAGTGAATTATGGCTCCCATTCAGGCTGTTAGTGGCCGCAAATGTCGCCTCACGCCGGAAAGTGTCGCACGGTGGAAAACCTCAAGTTTCTTGGATGGGAAAAAGACAATTCCAGTATTTTACTGAATTGACTCTGGATGGAAAGATGAGGATTATCTTATGCTGCAGTCCATGCAAGTTGATGGTGAATTTCACGGCACGTGAGGTCCAGTAGGAACCGATCCGTCTGGGTTTCTGTTATTGTTATTCTAATGGTGAGGACTCTGAACACATAACTGAAAATAAATGGGACCTGTTGTTTATGTTTTTGTGTCTTTGCCCGTGATGAACTGACTGTATGATAAAATGTGTTGATGTGTCTGACAAATGTGTGACGTTTCCAGTCTTTTCAAAAATAATTCTGAATTTTCATCAACTGCAGAACTCCTGGTTTTTCTTTTTTTATTATTATTATTCTAGACAATTTAATGTGTAATCTTATACATATATATGTAGTCTGTAGTTATTTTTTAATTAAAATGTCAGCTTTTGATTTTAAATTTTAGAAAGGAAATCACACGCCTTATTTACATGACTTTTTTGTGTGGAAAAAATCCCACTTAAAAAACACTCCAAACCGAATTTTTTCACTCAATTTTTTATCTCGTGGGCCCCCTAGTGGCAGCATGCGCACCCCTGAAACCCTGAAATTTTACTTCTTTAAATTTTTAATTTATATGTTGGCAAATTTTAGTGTGTATTTTCTCTCCGGATCGTCTTCTAAACCACCACAACCTTAATGTTACGCGACGTCCACAGGTTTCCTTACAGACCTTTTAGAAGTTATACTGAAGACATAAAGTGACCTCCTCTGTCACAGACACACGCTGAGGATTTAAATGACTCGAGGTGGACATTTTGTCTCTCTCAGCTCAGTGCGTGAAAGCTTTTGTCAGGGGATTTCAGAAACGCTCTCACCTTTGCCAGAGGACGCCGTGTTGCTGTAATGAATGCCTTTAGGAAAATGATATAGTGAGAGCCCGTCTTAGGAGTCTGCTTTCTCAACCAGGAGGAGGACAGCCAGGAGGAGCCCAAGCTGAAGTACGAGAGGCTCTCCAACGGGGTCACCGAAATCCTGCAGAAGGATGCAGCCAGCTGTATGACCGTCCATGACAAGGTAGAGGTTAAAATCCATCCACCGCCAGAGGACATTTCACTTTCTTGCTGGACAAGCTCTGCTTCTTTGATGCTAATTAATATGCTTAACTATTAGTAATTAAATAATAAATGACAAGCTTTGGTTACCTCACGCCCCCTAGTTTTTCTGGGGCTGGATTATTTTAACGCCTGTTTAAAAGCAGTGTTCTGATTGGCTGGTTTCTGTGCCTGTACCTTTAAATAATAATGAGCCACAGACTCCGCCCACCTCTTCCACTGAGGTACGTCCTAAGAATGCAATCAAACAGCAGTGGTGGTAGGATGGGTGGGGCTATTCAAAGCAGGGGGTGTGGCCATTAGCATCACTGTGTGACATCACAAGGTGGGTGAAATAAAAACGGTCGTTTTTAGACGTATGTCCAGATTTTGTCCGATTATAAACCTTCTACTGAAGTTGTCTTTAAACTATTCACTTCATTATTGTCGTCTTCAAACCTTGTCGTCCTCCTCTCTGGTGATGCTTTAATGCTAACGCTAGGCTACTAACAGCTGACGGATTCTTTTCTCACCTGGTCCAGTTTTTTTCCCCTCTCACATCAACAACCTCGGTTCTTTCTTTTTCTTTTTCTACTTTTAAATATCGACATTGATGAGAATGTCACTCAGAGCAGGACGGTTAATCGTCTTGGCACCAGAAGACGAGCAGAAGTCGTGCACACTCACCTCCCCCTCACCTTATGTTTTATTAACTCCTATTGATTTTCACTTCTTTTTTTCTTTTTTTTTCTTGGAGGATTCTGCTTTTATGACCTCAGAACGGCCACAGTCGGAGACATTGCTTTGCTGAAATTCTAAATTTGATCCGACCGTCTTCCTTCATGGGATTTTCCGTCGCCCTCTGTCACCGCTGCTACCTGAGTGGTC